TACAGCATTTCAGAACGATAGTTTATTAAATCGAATCATTACTATCAAATCGTAAAGAGAATGTCGACCTGAACAGACAAAGGATCTATCCTGATACAAATGCTTCAAGGCTACAGCATTTCAGAACGATAGTTTTATTAAATCGATCATTACTATCAAATCGTAAAGAGAATGTCGACCTGAACAGACACACTTCCGATTCCGGGCAAAGGATCTATCCTGGTTCCTACACTGTTTAGCATGTTGGTCTTATACAAATGCTTCAAAGGCTACAACATTTCAGAACGATAGTTTTATTAAATCGAATCATTACTATCAAATCGTAAAGAGAATGTCGACCTGAACAGACACACTTCCGATTCCGGGCAAAGGATCTATCCTGGTTCCTACACTGTTTAGCATGTTGGTCTTATACAAATGCTTCAAAGGCTACAGCATTTCAGAACGATAGTTTTATTAAATCGAATCATTACTATCAAATCGTAAAGAGAATGTCGACCTGAACAGACACACTTCCGATTCCGGGCAAAGGATCTATCCTGGTTCCTACACTGTTTAGCATGTTGGTCTTCAAATGCTTCAAGGCTACAGCATTCAGAACGATAGTTTTATTAAATCGAATCATTACTATCAAATCGTAAAGAGAATGTCGACCTGAACAGACACACTTCCGATTCCGGGCAAAGGATCTATCCTGGTTCCTACACTGTTTGGCATGTTGGTCTTCTACAAAAGCTTCTAGGCTACAGCATTTCAGAACGATAGTTTATTAAATCGAATCATTACTATCAAATCGTAAAGAGAATGTCGACCTGAACAGACACACTTCCGATTCCGGGCAAAGGATCTATCCTGGGGCCTACACTGTTTGGCATGTTGGCCTTCTACAAAAGCTTCTAGGCTACAGCATTTCAGAACGATAGTTTTATTAAATCGAATCATTACTATCAAATCGTAAAGAGAATGTCGACCTGAACAGACACACTTCCGATTCCGGGCAAAGGATCTATCCTGGTTCCTACACTGTTTAGCATGTTGGTCTTATACAAATGCTTCAAGGCTACAGCATTTCAGAACGATAGTTTTATTAAATCGAATCATTACTATCAAATCGTAAAGAAATGTCGACCTGAACAGACACTTCCGATTCCGGGCAAAGGATCTATCCTGGTTCCTACACTGTTTAGCATGTTGGTCTTATACAAATGCTTCAAAGGCTACAGCATTTCAGAACGATAGTTTTATTAAATCGAATCATTACTATCAAATCGTAAAGAGAATGTCGACCTGAACAGACACACTTCCGATTCCGAGCAAAGGATCTATCTTGGATCCTACACTGTTTGGCATGTTGGTCTTCTACAAAAGCTTCTAGGCTACAGCATTTCAGAACGATAGTTTATTAAATCGAATCATTACTATCAAATCGTAAAGAGAATGTCGACCTGAACAGACACACTTCCGATTCCGGGCAAAAGGATCTATCCTGGTTCCTACACTGTTTGGCATGTTGGTCTTCTACAAAAGCTTCTAGGCTACAGCATTTCAGAACGATAGTTTTATTAAATCGAATCATTACTATCAAATCGTAAAGAGAATGTCGACCTGAACAGACACACTTCCGATTCCGGGCAAAGGATCTATCCTGGTTCCTACACTGTTTGGCATGTTGGTCTTCTACATAAGCTTCTAGGCTACAGCATTAGTGAACTATAGTTTTATTAAATCGAATCATTACTATCAAATCGTAAAGAGAATGTCGACCTGAACAGACACACTTTCGATTCCGGGCAAAGGATCTATCTTGGATCCCTAAACTGTTTTGGCATGTTGGTCTTATATCAAATCGTATTCGACAAAAGCTTTCCTAGTTGGCTGTTGGTCATTACAGAACGATAGTTTTATTAAATCGAATCATTACTATCAAATCGTAAAGAAATGTCGACCTGAACAGACACACTTCCGATTCCGGGCAAAGGATCTATCCTGGTTCCTACACTGTTTGACATGTTGGTCTTCTCGTACACCTAAAGCTTCTAGGCTACAGCATTAGTGAACGATAGTTTTATTAAATCGAATCATTACTATCAAATCGTAAAAGAGAATGTCGACCTGAACAGACACACTTCCGATTCCGGGCAAAGGATCTATTCTGGATCCTACACTGTTTGGCATGTTGGTCTTCTACAAAAGCTTCTAGGCTACAGCATTAGTGAACTATAGTTTTATTAAATCGAATCATTACTATCAAATCGTAAAGAGAATGTCGACCTGAACAGACACACTTCCGATTCCGGGCAAAGGATCTATCCTGTTTCCTACACTGTTTGGCATGTTGGTCTTCTACAAAAGCTTCTAGGCTACAGCATTACAGAACGATAGTTTTATTAAATCGAATCATTACTCTCAAATCGTAAAGAGAATGTCGACCTGAACAGACACACTTCCGATTCCGAGCAAAGGATCTATCCTGGTTCCTACACTGTTTGGCATGTTGGTCTTCTACAAAAGCTTCTAGGCTACAGCATTACAGAACGATAGTTTTATTATATCGAATCATTACTATCAAATCGTATAGAGAATGTCAACCTGAACAGACACACTTCCGGTTCCGGAGAAAGGATCTATCCTGGTTCCTACACTGTTTGGCATGTTGGTCCTCTACAAAAGCTTCTAGGCTCCAGCATTACAGAACGATAGTTTTATTAAATCGAATCATTACTATCAAATCGTAAAGAGAATGTCGACCTGAACAGACACACTTCTGATTCCGGGCAAAGGATCTATCCTGGTTCCTACACTGTTTAGCATGTTGGTCTTATACAAATGCTTCAAGGCTACAGCATTTCAGAACGATAGTTTTATTAAATCGAATCATTACTATCAAATCGTAAATAGAATGTCGACCTGAACAGACAAACTTCCGATTCCGGGCAAAGGATCTATCCTGGTTCCTACACTGTTTGGCATCTTGGTCTTCTACAAAAGCTTCGAGGCTACAGCATTACAAAACGATAGTTTTATTAAATCGAATCATTAATATCAAATCGTAAAGAGAATGTCGACCTGAATAGACACACTTCCGATTCCGGGCAAAGGATCTATCCTGGTTCCTACACTGTTTGGCATGTTGGTCTTCTACAAAAGCTTCTAGGCTACAGCATTACAGAACGATAGTTTTATTAAATCGAATCATTACTCTCAAATCATAAAGAGAATGTCGACCTGAACAGACACATTTCCGATTCCGGGCAAAGGATCTATCCTGGTTCCTACACTGTTTGGCATGTTGGTCTTCTACAAAAGCTTCTTGGCTACAGCATTACAGAAGGATAGTCTTATTAAATCGAATCATTACTATCAAATCGTATATAGAATGTCAACCTGAACAGACACACTTCCGATTCCGGACAAAGGATCTATCCTGGTTCCTACACTGTTTGGCATGTTGGTCTTCTACAAAAGCTTCTAGGCTACAGCATTAGTGAACTATAGTTTTATTAAATCGAATCATTACTATCAAATCGTAAAGAGAATGTCGACCTGAACAGACACACTTCCGATTCCGGGCAAAGGATCTATCCTGGTTCCTACACTGTTTGGCATCTTGGTCTTCTACAAAAGCTTCGAGGCTACAGCATTACAAAACGATAGTTTTATTAAATCGAATCATTAATATCAAATCGTAAAGAGAATGTCGACCTGAATAGACACACTTCCGATTCCGGTCAAAGGATCTATCCTGGTTCCTACACTGTTTGGCATGTTGGTCTTCTACAAAAGCTTCTAGGCTACAGCATTAGTGAACTATAGTTTTATTAAATCGAATCATTACTATCAAATCGTATATAGAATGTCAACCTGAACAGACACACTTCCGATTCCGGACAAAGGATCTATCCTGGTTCCTACACTGTTTGGCATGTTGGTCTTCTACAAAAGCTTCTAGGCTACAGCATTAGTGAACTATAGTTTTATTAAATCGAATCATTACTGTCAAATCGTAAAGAGAATGTCGACCTGAACAGACACACTTCCGATTCCGGGCAAAGGATCTATCCTGGTTCCTACACTGTTTTGCATGTTGGTCTTCTACAAAAGCTTCTAGGCTACAGCATTACAGAACGATAGTTTTATTAAATCGTATCATTACTCTCAAATCGTAAAGAGAATGTCGAACTGAACAGACACACTTCCGATTCCGGGCAAAGGATTTATCTTGGTTCCTACACTGTTTGGCATGTTGGTCTTCTACAAAAGCTTCTAGGCTACAGCATTACAGAACGATAGTTTTATTAAATCGAATCATTACTATCAAATCGTAAAGAGAATGTCGACCTTCACAGACACACTTCCGATTCCGAGCAAAGCATCTATCCTGGTTCCTACACTGTTTGGCATGTTGGTCTTCTACAAAAGCTTCTAGGCTACAGCATTACAGAACGATAGTTTTATTAAATCGAATCATTACTATCAAATCGTAAAGAGAATGTCGACCTGAACAGACACACTTCCGATTCCGGGCAAAGGACCTATCCTGGTTCCTGCGCTGTTTGGCATGCTAGCATTCTATATATGCTTACAGGACGATTGTTTCATTCAATCGCATCATTACTATCCAATCGTGAAATGAGGAGCGTTTTGGACGTTACTTATCTTGCTTCCTACAGTGTTTATGATCTTCATCAATGATCTCTCTGATGTCATCATTCCTCAAGTTCGATCTATGCAGAAGACACAACCATTTCCTACCGTTTCAATAGTAAATCCAGTAGCGTTGACAATGTTAACCTGTCCGTTGTTTTCGAAAATGACTTCCATTCAGTGGTTGGCTGCGACAGGAAAACAAAACTAGACTGTTCTGATTTAGCCTTCACATAGAACCCTCTCACACACATGCATAGTTGATGGTCTACCGCGTGACAGTCTCGTGTTTTTACAATGACTTGAGTCGGAAAATCTACATTGAATCAATAGCTGCATCATCCAATTATTCATACCCATTCGTGAGATGATGGTCGTTCTGAATTGGCTGAGATAGATAGATAGTTAGAAAGACAGACAGATAGATAGATATATAGATAGATAGAAAGATAGATAGATATGAAGTAGACATAGATGAATAGATAGATAGATGAATAGATGATGAATAGATAGATAGATAGATAGATAGATAGATAAGTATACATTGATAGTTAGATAGATAGATTGATAGATTCGAAGTCAACGTTGATAGATAGATAGATAGATATATATATATATATATATATATATATATATATATATATATATATATATATATAGTTAAATCGATGCAAGAAAACGTAAATAGATAGATAGATAGATAGATAGATAGATAGATAGATAGATAGATAGATAGATATGAAACAGGCTCAGATGGATAGATAGACAGACAGATAGATATAAGCAGACTGAGAGAATTAGATATGAATGAACTGAGATAGATGGACAGATAGACATAAACAGACTGATAGATAGATAGATAGATAGATAGATAGATAGATAGATAGATAGATAGATAGGTAGATAGATAGATAGATAGATAGATATTTCTCACCCACGGAAGAGAGACATGCTTGCGGAGATATTGAGGTCTCACACTTATACACACCCCGATTCTAATATATACACTTACACACGTCATACAAACTCCCAAAGAACTAAAAGATAATATGCAATTTACACAAACACATCCCCTTCCCAGGAACAAATAAATCTCTCTAAATGTCCAAGGGAATTCAGTGTCGCATGAATCCATCCAGCTTCTATATTAAAATCAACTTAAAAGAGGCCATTGGACCAACACAATGACTGACGCTACAAAACAAAAAACTAAGTGAAATAATAAAACAGATTTTTAGTATTTTTTTATCGTTAAAACATACAAATAAATTATCTATTTTTCATTGTTGAAATATCATATTCTCTCTATCTTTCTCTTTCTCTCTCTCTCTCTCTCTCTCTCTCTTTCTGTATAGAGAGATAGAAAATTTGATAGATGAAGAAATATAAGAGACGATATAACCAACGCTCGGTCTTATTGGCATATTTACATATCAATCTAATATTCTTTCGCTTTAATACGTCTCGTAATTTTAAAAGAGTCAGTTTAAAACAAATAAATACGACGAGAATATTTCAGGAAAATAAGCTTGTGATATCGATGAATATCTCTCCAGATTATAACATTAAAATCTACATTGAATTTCGCGAGGCAAAAGTAAAGAAAACCAAAAAAAAAAAAAGAAAAGAAAATAGAAAAACATGAACGAAAAATATAAAATTGAAAACTTTAATTATACGCTCATCCCCCATACACACAGGCACGCACATAGAGATTTCTACAAACAGTACCTAGATGCGTGTAAAATCCGGCAAGTCACTTCACTACGCAAAAGACCTTGGGATCCATGAAAATAATTTTCTTTTTTTTCTCTATTTTCTTTTTCCATATGATTACTTCCATCTACAACCTGACAAGCCAAAAACCTCAAGATGGACGCCCTGAGAGGGAATGCCGGGATATATATTTACGGTTTTAATATCCCAAAATATACTTCCGTTTCGTTGACAAGTTCCTCGAGCTAGTGAAAAGTAATTAAATATTTTCAACAGTAGCCGCTAGAAGAATATAAACAACAACATGACGAAGGAGAATTAACAGGTTTAATAGCAGCATCATCATACACAATACAGATTTTGAACTTTCAGAAATACAGATATTATTATCACAATGATAATAATAATCCTAAGAAGAAGAAGAAAAAGAAGAAGAAAAAAGCTGGAAATAATGGAAGATTGACACTATAAGAGAAAGAAAATGATAATGTAGAATGATGATGATGATGATGATGAAGAACAACAACAACAACAAGAACAAGAAGAAGGAGAAGAAAGAAAGAAGAAGGAAGGAAAAAGTGTAAACGTAGAAGTGAAAGTAAATGAAGAAGAAGAAGAAGAAGAAGAAGAAGAAGAAGAAAAAAACGAAGGGGGAGGTAGTGAAAGAAGAAAAGTTAAAGAGAAATAAAATGAGAATGTGGAATGAAGAAGGAGAAGAAGAAGAAAAAGAAGAAGAAGAAGAAAAGAAGAAGAATGGGAAGAAGAAGAAGCAGAAGAAAGGAAACGAAGGGGGAGGAAGTGAAAGAAGAAAAGTAAAAGGGAAAAAAAATAAGAATATGGAATGAAGAAGAAAAAAAGAAGAAGAAGAAGAAGAAGAAGAAGAAGAAAGAAAACGAAGGGGGAGGTAGTGAAAGAAGAAAAGTTAAGGAGAAATAAAATGAGAATGTGGAATGAAGAAGGAGAAGAAGAAGAAAAAGAAGAAGAAGAAGAAGAAAAAGAAAAAAAGAAGAATGGGAAGAAGAAGAAGAAGCAGAAGAAAGGAAACGAAGGGGGAGGAAGTGAAAGAAGAAAAGTAAAAGGGAACAAAAATAAGAATATGGAATGAAGAAGAAGAAGAAGAAGAAGAAGAAGAAAAGAAGAAGAAGAAGAAGAAGCGGAGAAGGAAAGAAAAACGAAAGAAAATGATAATGTAGAAAGAAGAAGTAGAAGAAGAAGAAGAAGAAGAAGAAGAAGAAGAAGAAGAAGAAGAAAGGAAACGAAGGGGGGGAAGTGAAAGAAGAAAAGTAAAAGGGAAATAAAGTGAGAATGTGGAAAGAAGAGAAGGAGAAGAAGAAAAAAAAGAAGAAAAAAGGAAAAAAAAAAGAAAGAAAATAATGTAGAAAGAAAGAAGAAGAAGAAGAAGAAGAAGAAGAAGAAGAAGAAGAAGAAGAAGAAAGGAAATAAATCAATTTAGAGAAAGAAGAAAAGTAAAAGAGAAATAAAATGAGAATGTGGAATGAAGAAGAAGGAGAAGAAGAAGAAAAAGAAGAGGACGAGAAGGAAAGAAAAAAACGAAAGAAAATGATAATGTAGAAAGAAGATGTGGAAGAAGAAGAAGAAGAAGAAGAAGAAAGGAAACGAAGAGGGAGGAAGTGAAAGAAGAAAATATAAAGAGAAATAAAATGAGAATATGGAATGAAGAAGGAGAAGAAGAAGAAGAAAAAGAAGAAGAAGAGGAGAAAGAAAGAAAAAACGAAAGAAAATGATAATGTAGAAAGAAGAAGAAAAAGAAGTAAGGAAATGAAAGGGGAGGAAGTGAAAAAGAAAAGGAAAAGGGAAATAAAATGAGAATGTGGAATGAAGAAGAAGGAGAAGAAGAAGAAAAAGAAAAAGGCTGGAAAGAATGAAAGATTAATTATATAAGAGAAAGAAGATGATAATGTAAAATAATGAGGAAGAAGAAGAAGAAGAAAAATAAAAAGAAGAGGTAAGGAAAAAAGAATAAGCGTCGAAAATGAGAATATGGAACGAAGAAGAGAGACAAAACAAAGAAGAAGAGTTTCAAGAAGAAAAAGAAAAAGGAAGCGGAAAGAAAAGAGATAACATAGAAAGAAAGGAAAAAGAGAATATGGTTTGAAGAAAGAGGAGACGAAGAAGAAGAAGAAGAAGAAGAAGAAGAAGAAAACGGAGAGGGAAGGAATGATAGAATAAAAGTAAAAGCGAAAGTAAATGAGAATATGGAATAAAGAAGAAGAAGAAGAAGAAGAAAACGGAGAGAGAAGGAATGATAGAATAAAAGTAAAAGCGAAAGTAAATGAGAATATGGAATAAAGAAGAAGAAGAAGAAGAAGAAGAAGAAGAAGAAGAAGAAGAAGTAGAAGAAGAAAACAAGCTGGAAAAAATGGACGATTTACACTATAAGAGAAAGAAAATGCGAAAATAGAATCAAGAAAGTGAATAAGCTGAAGAAAAAAGGAAAGAAGATTGAAGGAATGAAAGTGTCAAAGTATAAGCGACATAAAATGATATTGTAGGATGATGAAGAAGAAAAGAAAAGAAATAGAAAAGTGAAATAAGAAAAAAGTAAACGTAGCAGAGAAAGGAAATGAGAATATGGAATGAAGACGAAAGAGAAGACGAAAAAGAAGAAGAAAAAATTGGGAAAGGATAAAAGCGAAAGAAAATGATATTGTAGAAAGAAGAAGAAGAAGAAGAAGAAGAAGAAGAAGAAGAAGAAGAAGAAGGAAAAAGATGGAAAGTATGGAAGATGAACACTATAAGACAAACGAAATACTAATGTAGATTGATGAAGATGGAGAAGAAACGCAAAAAAAAAATAAGAAGAAAAAAAACAATAAGGACTAAACGCAAAAGAAAGAAATGATAATGCAGATGAAATAAAGAAGAAGAAGAAGAAGAAGAAGATGAGAAGAAAAAGAATGTAATGGAGAAAACATAAAGAAGAAGAAGAAGAAGAATGAAGAAGAAGAAGAAGAAGAAGAAAAAAAAATAATGCTGGAAAAATGAATGGAAGATGAACATTATAAGAGAAAGAAAATAATAATGTAGAATGATGAGGAGGAAGAAGGGGTAGAAAAAAGAGAGAATGAATCAAAGCAAAAGAAAAAGTACATTAAATGAAGAAGAAGAAAAACAATGATTGGAAGAGTAAAACTATAAGGGAAAGAAAAATGAAATAAAGAAAAAAAAAACAGCAAAACAGTATAAGGACCGAAAGAACGAAGGAAGGAAACAAGGAAGGAACGAAGGAAAATATCCATGTCCAACAGGTAATCAATGGCGTAGATCAAGCAAAAAAACAACAAAAACAAAAAAAAAAAAAGTCTCGTAAAACAAAAACAAAGGGAATGATATTTCAAGGCGATGAAGAAGGGACCTGGAGGGGAGAGACAATGAATCACTATTGGAAACCACCCGGACAATTCACAAATTTAATTAAGGCCAAAATAGAGAAAACACAGCCTCGCTGATTCGCCAATGAATTCCACATGATCTTCATCTACTTTTATGTAGTGTGTCCCTTCAGGACGTGAACAAACATCATTTTTCATAACTTCCTATAACCTGTAGCTCTGAGCAATGTCTGTTTTCCCCTCCCTTTCACTATTCTACTATACATCCCGATGTCTGTCTTGCCTTCAGTATATCCTGTAAGTGCCAAATTTTAAAAGCATTCTGTTATCTGTCCTACAATATGCAGTTGTCTCAAGCTGATTCCAAGTGGTAATCTCTTTTCTTTGTCCATTTTTCTTAAAACTTCCTCGTTGCACACTTGCTCCATCCATGTTATTCTCAGTAACATTATGCAGAGAAATATTTACAATATTAA